TCTGTCAGAACAGTAAGTCTGGTCTTTTTCTTTTTTGGTGAGTTAGAATTTTGTTCTACATTTTTCTCCAGCTCTATCCAGGACCCTCTATTGTGATCCCTGTCAAAGCAGTCGGTGGTAGTAGCAGGGCACCATCTAGTTGTCCTGAACTCAGTCTTGTGGAGGCTATAGTACTTGTGGTTCATCAGTCATCTGGACTAATCTCTCCCTTGTGTCTTTAGTTTTCTTCATTCTCCCTTCCTCCAGACTAGGTGAGACCAGTGGAGTATCTTAATGGCCCCTCACAACTTTTTAAGACGTCAGATGCTACTCATTGAAGTAGAATGCAGAACATTTTCTTTTTTTGGGGGGGGGAGGTACCAAATTAACTTTATTTTGAAGGAATGGTACAAATGAAAGAACTTAAGTGGATGTTTTGGTACAATTTATAGAAAAGGTAATGTAAACTCAACATGCATGCACCATCTTGGTGACCACGGAAGTCAACCCTGTTGCTATGAGGCAGCCAGGCTAAAGCTTTATTAGCTCTCTCCATCACTGTCTCCAAGGGTATGCTTGTCAAAGAGATACACTGCCAAGCTAGATTCCAGGGCTCCCATCTTGTGCAAGCTGGTTACATAGTTATCCAATTCTTCGAGGGATTCCACCTGCTCATTTAGGTAATGAGTCTCAATGAAGTCACACAAATGGGGGTCATTCTTGTCAGTGGCCAGTTTGTGCAGTTCCAGGACCAACTGATTCACACTTTTTCCAAGTGTAACGCACACTCCACCGCATTCAGCCCACTCTCCCAATCATCACGGTCTGGTTTCTTGATATCCTGAAGGAAGATTTGGCCACATCGTTGGTTCTGTAGCTTCATCAGTTTCTCAGCATGTTCCCTCTCGAGATTGGTGAAGAAAATTTTTGGCAAAATTCTTCAGAGCCACATCATCATGGTGGAAGTAGTAAGACACGGACAGGTAGACGTAGGAGGCGTAGAGCTCCAGGTTGATCTGGCAGTTGATGGTGGCCTCCGAGTCGTGATTGTAGTCCTGATGCACCTGCAAAGGGGACACGGTCATCATGGCGATGGTTGAGAAGAGGCGGCGGTGGCAGCTGCGTGGTGCTGGAGCAGCGGTGGGGGCCTTGGGGTGTCCAAGGGCGCTGCTGTGAGGAGGTGGCGGAAGGCTGGCTGGGAGCGGCCATTTGGGGGAAGGCTGGCGAGTTCCATTCAAGCACTGCTGAAGCAGGAGACCACGGCAACTCTACAAAGAACATCTGGACAGAACATTTTCTTTATAAACTATGTTATGACAATTGAGCTAGATGTTCCCTGAGACCACAGTCCCCACAGCCCTCAGCCCAGTAATTCAGTCCCTCAAGGAGTTTGGATATATCTATGCAGCTTCCATGACCTCACCTTGGACAAGTTGTGCTGTCAGTGGCCAATTTTTTCAGAAGCAGACCACTAGGTCCTTCTTCCTAGTCTATCTTAGTCTGGAAGCTCTGCTGAAACCTGTACACCATGGGTGACCCTGCTGGTATTTCAAATACCAGTGACATAGCTTCCAGCATCACTGCAACACACAAGCCACCACAGCACAACAAACTGACAGACTTGTGGGGATACCACTTATAACAGCCCCTAAGTATTTTATCTTTTTAGGGACGGTACCATTTATAATAGCCCCTAAAAAGACAAAATACTTAGGAATAAATCTAAGCAGGGATGTAAAAGACTCATACAAAGAAAACCACAAAACACTACTGCCAAGAAATCAACAGAGATGTACATGAATGGAAAAACATACCATGCTCTTGGACAGGAAGACTTAACATTGTGAAAATGTCAATACTACCCAAAGACATACAGATATAAACAATCGACACAAATTCCAACTTCATTCTTCAACAAGATGGAAAAACTAATCACTAACTTTATATGGAAGGAAAAGAGGCCCCAAATAAGTAAAGCAATATTAAAGCAGAACAAAGAGGAGTCCTCACACTATCTCATCTCGGAACCTACCATAGAGCCATGATAGTCAAAACAGCCTGGTACTGGTACAACAACAGACACGTAGACCAATGGAACAGACTTGAGATCCCAGACATAAATCCATCCATTTATGGACAGCTGATCTTTGACACAGGGCCAAAGACCATTAAATGAGAAGACACAGTCTATTCAACGAATGAGGCTGGTAGAACTGGGTATCTACCTGTAGAAAAATCAAACAGGACCCATACCTCACACCATACACAAAAACTAACTTAAAATGGATCAAAGACCTAAATATCAAACCTAAAACTATAAAGATCGCAAAAAATAGGGACAATGCTAGGGTCCTAACATATGGCATAAATAGGATACCAAACTTAACTAAAAATGCACATACAACAGAAGATGAACCAGACAAATGGGACCTAAAAATGCTTGTGATCATTGGCAATTAGAAAGAAATCAAATCTACAATGAGATACCATCTCAACCTGACAATAATGGCACAAATCAAAAAAACAGAAAATAACAAATGTTGGCGAGGTTGTGGGAAGACGGGAACTCTTACACATTGCTGGTGGGAATGCAAAATGGTACAACCACTATGGAAAATGGTACCGTATTTTTCTCAAGAATTTAGAAATAGAAATACCATATGATCCAGCAATCCCACTCCTAGGTATATACCCTAAAGAAATAAAAGCCATGACATGAATAGACATATACGCACCCATGATCATCGCAGCATTGTTCACAATAACCAAGGTGGAAAACAACCTAGGTACTCATCAACAGATGAATGGACTAACAAATGGTTGGTACATATACACACCGGAATACTATGCAATGATAAAGAATAATGATGAATCCACAAAACGTCTCACAACATGTATGAATTTGGAGGACATCATGTTGAGTGAAAATAAGTCAATCACAAAAGAACAAATATTGTGTGAGTCTGCTATTATAAAGTAACAACAAAAGGTTTACATACAGGAAGAAAAAAAAACACATTCTTTTATAGTTACCAGGGATGAGAAGAAGAGGGAGGGAAAATTACCAAATAGAAGACGTGTTAATGTTGGTAAAAGGAAAGGCAATACACAATATGGGAGAAGTAAGCACAACATGACCAAGGCAAGAGGACAATGAGGAACGCAAACATAAAGGGCAACTACGGTAACTACTATAGCATAGACAATCCTGCAATAACAGTACAAACAAACAATAATTTGACTGAATACACAGGTAGATGGATATGCCAAGAGGTGTGGGAGGGTGTAAGGGAGCACACCCGTCGGCAGATACAGGTTTGGAGGCAGATATTTCTACATACGTGACTGTAGGTGCTCCTCATTTATTAATACAATAGAGCACACAAGGGGAACAGTTAGGGAAACTTCTTAGACATAACCAAACATCTCATGCGATGAAATTCCTAGGCTCAAAGGCAAAGGACCATAGGCTTCAAGTATATCTATGTCAACTGACACAACACAGTTCATAAAGACAATGCTCTGCATCCTACTTTGGTAAGTAGCGTCTGGGGTCTTAAAAGCTTGCAAGCGCCATCTGAGGTGCAAGTAATGGTCTCTTCCCTTCCTGAGCAAAGGAGAGTGAAGAAAACCAAAGACCTAAGGGAGCAATTAGTCCAAAGGACTAACGGACCACATGAACCACAGCCTACATGACCCTGAGACAGATGAACTAGATGGTGCCCAGCTACCACTATCAACTGCTCGGACTGGGATTACAACAGAGGGTCCCGGACAGAGTGGGAGAAAAATGTAAAGCAAAAAATTAAATTCACAAAAAAGATCAGAGTTACTGGTCTGACAGAGACTGTAAGAACCTCCAAGACTATGGCCCGAAGACATTCTCCTGACCTGGAATTGAAGCTGTTCCTGGAGACCACCTTTTAGCCAAAGAATAGACAGGCCCATAAAATAAACAGTAACACCCAAAGGAACGTGTTCCTTAGAACAATCAATTATATGAATTCAAAAGGAAAACACACGCCCAAAAGCAAAGATGAGAGGGCAGAGAGGGGCAGAAAATCAGGATGAAAGGTTAACAGGGCACTCAGGGCAGAAATGGGGAGAGAGCTGACACATTGTGGGAAATGAAATCAAGGCCATGAAGCACGTTATGGACAGACTATTGAATGGGAATCTAATTTGCTCTGTAAACGTTCATCTAATGCACAATAAAAAAAAAATATAATAATAAAGAGCACCAAGGCATTTAAAGGGTTGGCAGAGAAAGAGAAGTGTGCAAAGGAGACTGAGACACACAGCCAGTCGGGAGAGAGTGGTGTCAAGGATTAAAATATATTCAAGGTCAACAGCTTAAATGTTACAAGACAGGGCAGGCAGGAAAAACAGGACAAAAATTTGCCCACTGGATTAGGCAGTGGGAAGTGTCTTGATGACTTTGGCAAGAATAACTTCAGTGGAGATGGGGAAGTCAACCTGCAGTGGACTGAGAAGCAACCAGGATACCAAGAAGTGGAGACAGTAACTGGAGATTTTGTTGCTGTTGCTGTTCTAGAAATTTAGTTATGACAAGAAGAGCAATAGGGCAAGAGCTGAAAAGAAAAGGTAAAATTATTAGATTAGACTATAAAGGTAAGATTACAGATTGGGAAGATTTTTCGTATTTATATGCTAAGTCAATGAAGAGGAAGAAAGAAAAGGAAGTTACAGAAGTGAGAAGAGATAACTGATGCAGTAAGGGGTTTGGAGATAAGGGAAGAAGATAGCATCAAAAGTACAGTTGGGTGGCTATTAACGACAAGACAATGTCAATTAATAAGTAAAATCACTCAGAGAAAATAAGATACCGACTCTTGAAATTCGAAATTATTAGCAGCAGCTCTCCAAATCTTCCTTTATAAAATTAATCTACCTACAAGTTCAAAATTTAAATTCAACTTTAAAATTATTTCCAAAAATAATTCTACATCATTTTGGTCATAAAGGCAATACTTGATCAATAAATGTTAGTGTTTACTCACGGGGCTTGAGTACGAGTAGTATATTCTTTGAATTCACTATCATGGATTGTGAAATAGGGTCGGAAATCACTGCAGTACTTTAGTGGAGAAATACAGCTGTGGAGCAGGAAGAACATGTAAAACAATGGACACAAAGTCCCTACTTAATAATTATAACACATCTATACAAACAGTGTGTATACACAGGATAATTTATTTCAGTAAGTGGTAAACTCACTTTGGGAAACTAGAAAGACAAATGGCAATACATAATGTGGAATGGCACACTGAAAGAACACCAGGTTTGGGACAGAAGACAGGATGGAATTCTGGCTCTACCATTCACCACCTATATTCTTCCGACAAACCATCGGCAATTCACGCAAATAATATTTATCAAGTGCCAATGTGTAAGTGAATGAATATGCTCAGTGTTCAGAGTAACAAAAACATGGTTCCAGCCCTCACAGAGACTGAATCACCTTTCTCATCCATAATACAGTGCTATTATGAGCACGAAGTGCCGCACATATCACCACCAGGAATCAAATATACTCACCTCACAAGTGCCAATACAGTCTCTGACGACTCTGATGGTGACGGTGCCATGACCACAAGGGGCTCTCCCAATAGCACCAGCTCCCAAAGCATCTGACTATGAAGGAAAACTGGGCAGAAACACCTGAAAGTAGAAACATTTTGTGATTTCTTCAATAGTGTTTTTTAAGTTCGTATATAATCACTCTAAAAGCTTCACATTTATACATACTCTTCCTAATGTTTATGTCTTGATCTGATGTACAGATTCATTTACAATATGGTGATAGAAATAGACATAAGTCCCTTTTATCCACCTAAAAATGTATCAGTTTGACTCTATCCCGATTTTTACAAAAGTTAATGCAATATACTGACACATGACAGCTGATACACAAGTATATAAAAATTATTGTACCAATGGTAGATCTAGTTTATCCATATTGCTTTGTTACATTTGAGTTACTATTCTATTTCGAAGGAAACAAGAAAAATTAATTTTCCAAAGGATGTTTATTGGATGTACTTATTTTAAAAGCTGAAGCTTTCGATGTATTATCCTATTTCAGCAAAAGAATGATGAAAACAAATCACAAGGAGAAGTACCAACACCAACAACAAAATTATTTCCTGGGCAGATCTCCCTTCTGAAATGCTGTAAATTTTTACAGCTGCCCTGGAATGAGGTAAAGGCATGTGAGGACCAACATGCTAGTATATTACAAAGACTCAGGCATTGGCAGCTTTGACTTATTTAGAAACTCCCCCTGGTACAGTCACAAGTTTTTCTAGTAGATTATAAAGGTAGAGAAAAAGAAATACCTATCTATTTACAAATATCATAACCAATCCACCCAGCCAAACACACACACACACAAGTACAAAAATAGGCAACAAATCTGTGCAATGGAAATTAGGGAGAGTTGATTTTAACTATTCAAAAGCAAGAAGATAAATGTGAAGGAAGTGCAAAAAGAAGTTCAAGGATAAATACAAAGGAGCTCTTTCTCTCTCCCTTCTCTCCTAGACAATTCAATTCTAAAACAGAAGGGAAGCAGAACCACGTTGGCTGAGAGCAAAACATCAGAGCTTGCGCAAGTTAAGCTGGGTGTCCACATGGAGGGGTAGCATGCTGTTGGAGCCCAAACGAGGTGAGGAGGGTGTGCATGTGTGGACTGGTCTAGCTTGAGGTGACAGAGCCCAGGTAGCGTGACGAAGATGTCCCCACGGAGGGGCTGCCTGGTGTGCAATGTCAGAGCCAGAGTGGGATAAGGAGGTTGTCAACGGATAGGACCACCAGAAACAAGGCAGGGGAAAGGAAAGGAAAGAAGCCCCAGATAAGCAAAGCATTACTGAAGAAAAAGAACAAAGTAGGAGGACTCACACTACCTGATCTCAGAACCTACTATACAGCCACACTAGTCAAAACAGCCTGCACTGGTACAATGACAGATACACAGACCAATGGAACAGAATCGAGAACCCGGACATAAATCCACCTACCTATCGTCAGTTGATCTTTGACAAGGACCAAAGTCCACTAAATGGGGGAAAAGACAGTCTTTTTAACAAATAGTGCTGGCAGAAACTGGACGTCCATCTGTAAAAAAATGAAACAGGACCCATACCTCACACCATACACAAAAAGTAACTCAAAATGTATCAAAGACCTAAATATAAAAACCTAAAATGATAAGGATCATGGAAGAAAAAATAGGCACAATGCTAGGGGCCCTAATACACAGTATAAACAGAATACAAACCATAACTAACAATGCACAAACACCAGAAGATAAACTAAATAACTGGGAGCTCCTAAAAATTAAACACTTAAACACTCATCAAAAGACTTCACCAAAAAAATAAAAAGAGAACTTACAAACTGGGAGAAAATTTGTGGCTACGACATATCTGACAAGGGTCTAATCTCTAAAATCTATAAGATACTTCAACACCTCAACAACAAAAAGACAAATAATACAATTAAAAATGGGCAAAGGATATGAACAGATACCTCACCAAAGAAGACATTCAGGCAGCTAATAGACACGTGAGAAAATGCTCATGATCATTAGTCATTAAGGAAATGCAAATCAAAAGTACAATGAGATATCATCTCACCCCATCATTACGGCACTAATAAAAAAACCAGAAAATAACAAATGCTGGACAGGTTGCCAGGAGATTGGAACTCTTATGCACTGCTGGTGGGATATAAAATGGTACAACTACTATGGAAAACGATATGGCAACTCCTTAAAAAGCTAGAAACAGAAATACTACGTGATCCAACAATCCCACTCCTACTAATATATCCTAGAAAAATACATCAGTCACACAAATAGACATATGCACACCTAAGTTCACTGCAGCATTATACACAATAGCAAAAAGATGGAAACAACCTAAGTGCCCATCAACAGGTGAATGGATAAACAAATTACGGCACACGTACACGATGCAATACTATGCAATAATAAAGAACGATGAGTCTGCATGCTGAGTGAAATAAGTCAGTCATAAAAGGACAAACACTGTATGAGACCACCATTATAAAAACACAAGAAAGGGTTTACACGCAGAAAAAAACAATCTTTGATGGTTACAAGGGAGGGGAAAGGTGGAGAGGGAAACTCACTAACCAGATAGTAGACAAGTGTTAACTCTGGTAAAGGGAAAGACAATACACAATACAGGGGAAGTCAGTGTAACTTGACCAAGGCGAAGTCACAGAAGCTTCCTAGACACATTCAAACACCTTGAGGGACTGAGTTACTGGGGCTGAAGGCTGGGGACCATGGTTTCGGGGAACATCTATGTCAACTGGCATAACATACCTCATAAAGAAAATGTTCTACACCCTACTTTGGTGAGTAGTCTCTCCAGGGTCTTAAAAGCTTAAAAGAGTGTCCATCTAAGATGCATCTATTGGTCCCATCCTGTCTAGAGCAAAGGAGAATGAAGACAACCAAAGACACAAGGAAAATATTAGTCCAGAGGACTAATGGACCACATGAACCACAGCCTCCACCAGCCTGAGTCCAGAAGAACTAGATGGTACCCAGCTATCACCATCAACCACCCTGACAGGGATCACAATACAGGGTCCCGAACAGAGCAAGAGAAAAAGATAAAATAAAATTCAAATTCACAAAAAAAGACCAGACTTAGGGTCTGACAGACACTGGAGGAAACTCTGAGACTATAGCCACTAGATGCCCTGCTAACTCAGAACTAAAGCCACTCCCAAAGTTCACCTTTTAGCCAAAGATTAGACAGGCCTGTAAAACAAATGATAACACACATGAGGAACATGCTTCTGAGTTCAATCAAGCATACAAGATCAAATGGGCAACGCCTGCCTAAAGGCAAGACAAGAAGGCAGGAAGGGACAGGAAAACTGGACAAATGGACATGGGAACCCAGGGTGGAAAGGAAAGGGGGAGAGTGCTGACACATTTAGAGGATTGCAACCAATGTCACAAAACAATTTGTGTATATATTTTTTAATGAAAACTAATTGGTGCTATAAACTTTCACTTAAGGCACAATTAAAATAAAATGTAAGCCTCATGACATTTTACCCTACATACTTTAAAATGCACCCCTTTAAAAAAGCGTATTACCATACAGTATTGCAATACCATTCTCACCCCAAACCAAACAAAAAGTAATTTGTGTACATCATGTAATGCCCAGTCCATATCCAAATTTACCTGTGAAAGCTCGTAACATGTAGCCAGGATTGAACCACTGCTTTATAGCATTTGAAACACAATGGCTGTTTTCTTCCAGTTTTTTCCACATCTTATATAAGAACATTCATTTTCTAAAGAAATCAACACTAATATCACAATGCAAAAGAAAGAAAAAGCACTGTTAACAAAAAAATTTTAATATTTACCTGAAAAGATCTACCTCGTGGACAGTAGGCAAAATAACAGATATATGTGTATCTGCCTAAGAGATAGAAAAGAAAAAACAGTAAAGAAGATATCACCAAAATCTGCAGACACTGATTTTAAAAACATGGTATCTATCTCATGATCAATAAGCCATGTTGCCCCGTCCCCTGTTTTAAGATTCTTTTCTTCCAGAAGCAGCCGGAGAGAGATTAAGTCTTACAATCTTCCCTATGTGAACTGTCAAGAATTCTCAAGGATAAAGCAATAATCCAATAGTCAGATAAAGCAATAATCCAACAGTCAAATATTAGATTAATTCCTAGCCGTATAAAATACCATCGTAATACTAGCTGACATATATAACGGGCAAATTGGTTTTCCTATTGCTTTCCACTTTTATTCAACTCAAAAAACAAAGGGAGTGCTAATATACCAGTAAAAACATCTCAAATGATAAATAACCTCACTTGTGAGCAGATGTAGCCATAGGGAAAAAAAAGAAAGGCAATTATAACCACAAAATACATCTGACTGCATTTCCTAAAAAAAGCCTGCTGGCCCCTCTCCATAAGATGGATGGATGGTTTTGTTAAAACTGAATCTTGTTGAAAAAAAAAATTTACTTTTCCTTTGTCCTCATGATTACTGTATAAAGTATGAATTCTCCAAAAAACAGAGCCAGAAAAAAGCCTAAGAAACATTAAGTAGTTTACTATCAATTCATCAAAAAACTACTTAATTGGATATTTCAGTAATATTCAAATATACATAAACTCAAGAAATTTTGTATTTGTTAGTTTAACAATTTCATTAAACAAACTATATGTGCTGGATTATTCTACTACCTGCTGAGTTAACTGCCCTATTTGAGTTGTTCCAGGCTTGTCATGACATGTGGGAATCCGTACCTTAAAGAGAAACAGAAGAAACTGCTTTAGCTATAAAAGAATGTACCGAAAGGACTCATTTCTATATTTGCTAGTCCCACTACAGTGAGGGATCAACCTGCTAAAAAGGTCACTCAGCTTTGCCTAAAAAGCCATAAAATATTCATGTCAGATTAAAAAAACTAAGGTCATACTTATTTTTAGTCACAGAAAGTAAGTGAATCAAGGTCTCCACGTTTCCAAACACAAAGAAATCATTAACCAATGAAAAGCAAATGCACTAAAAAATAGAAAAAGGACATCGACTTTGTACTGTTTCCTGTTTATTGTTCCAAATTTTTGCTTCATTAATATACACACACCCAAACACACCCTCTTCAAACTTGCCAAACTTTGGGATAAATCTCACAGGAAACAATGAGAAATCTCAACACAGGGCTATGAGTACTACTTCTGATGATTTCTTAGGGAAAAGCAGAATGGAGAGCCCACAGGAATAAGCCCATCTAAAAAGACAGTACTGCCAAAAACAAGTCCAACTGGATAATGAACTGCAAAAGCACTGCAGTATGTATTTATACAAAGCCTGAAAGCAAAATACTAATTCATTTTTAAAAAGCTTAATAGAGAACAATACCCTGGAATGAATACGCTTGGTCAGACATTACATGCTAAGATGATCACTCAGGACAGGACCAATGGCTTTCCTAATTTCTCTAATTTTTTATAAGGGATCTGTTTCTGAAGACCACACATCTTTAGAGGCATTGGGAGTGTGAGGGAGTTGCACGTATCTGCAGGGTAGAATTTACATTCACGTGTATGACATACAAATAACACCCTGGGGCAAACTCCACAGGAGGCAATGGGACTGGTGGTCCCTGCACTTGTCTAACTAGTGGTCACCTGCAGCAGGATGAATTGCGGTAACTCCTCACATCAGTGACAAACAAGTGAAAGCAAAATAGGATTGAGTTATCAGAAGGTGAAAGGAAAGCCTATGTGTGAGCTTCCTACAGAGTTCTTAAAGGAAACAAATGAGGTGTAAGCTGTTACCTTCATTACCACTCCCATGATAGGCAGGTGTAAAGTTTTTCCTGGCACTGGGGCAGGCCATCGATCAACATCATTACAGGCTGAAAAATACAATCAAGTATTTCCTTAGTGTAAGCGGAAATATTAAAATATAAAAAATGGGGTATCAGAAATTAAAATTCTACTTTCTATAATTTAAGCAAAAATATACTGGGAAGGATGGAAGGTAAAAGGTAAAAGAAAAAGAAAAGTGATAAAACTATCTTTGACTTAGAAACATACATATATATTCTAGGGTATAAACTGGTTAACAAATCATAAGAAAACAAATTAAATAGGTTTAAAGGGCATTTTCCCATTTATTTATTACAACTAAAATTAGCTACAAAGATGGGGGCAAAGGATGGAGTTGAAATTTAATATTAAATAGAGTTACTATTTCTGTTCCCTATACAGTTTATTTCTATTTAATGTTGTATTTGTAAATAAAGAAATCAAGAATATTTACATGAAGTAAAATGAAAATGTACATGTTAACTATAGTGCTTGGAAAAAGACATCAAATATGAGCAGGTAAATAAAGTATAATAATGTATTAAATAAATAAATAAAATTAGCTACAAAGGGACCAGGGCTTTGAACCACTTCAAACTGATTCAGTCAAGGTTGATGAAGTGAAACTGGAACACACCTGAATTTTTTAATTTGGGTGATCTGGAACCGTAACTAGAATGGGAAAAATTACTGGTTGAAGTCCTGGAGTGGTAGACTCAGAAGAGGTATAGTGGGCCTTTTCAGGAGCCTGATGCATGATACTGGACTGCTGCCAGGACTTAGGAGACCGACACACATTCAAAGGGGTGTGGTTTGCTGCCATCTTTGAGCGGGGCACCGCTGTGCCCAGCTCTGCAAAAAATCCCACCGGCTAGAGATTTGGTTGCTATGCAACGCGTACACTGCCTTTGTTTTTTCTAAGAGGGAGATTAACTTCTACAGGGCTTTGACCAATAATTTTTCCCATTCCAGTTATGGTTCTGGTTCACCCAAATTCTAAAGATTCAGGTCTCTTATGGTGTTGCTTCCTCAACCATCACTGAACCAGGAAGAGCCGGTTCTAAGTCCTGAAAGGAACACCACCTGGCCAACATATTCCTTATATCAAGTGACGTAAGGATTTCTCTTCAATAGCACTAAGTATTAAAATATCTGGATATCATTAACCTAATAAATAGGCATCATCTATAAGAAAAAGGAGCACTGGTGGCACAGTGATTAAGCGCTCAGCTGCCAACCGAGAGGTCAGTGGTTCAAATCCACCAACTGCTCGGCAGAAGAAAGATGTGGCAGTCTGCTTTGGTAAAGATTACAGCCTTGGAAACTATGGGGCAGTTCTACTCTGTCCTATAGGGTCACTATGAGTCAGAACTGACTTGACAGCAAAGAGATGTTATAAGAGATGATAACGAAAGATAGTCTTTAGTGTTTATAGGTGAAGATGCCAGAAGAATTTTACATTTCTCTCCCACTATATAGCCCTTAAACTCTTATCTGATGTCTTTAGAAAGCCAGCTTCATTTGACCATTCATTTCTAGTAAGTTTTTAAAAACTCCTTTATAAGAGTCACATAACTCACACAGTGTTTAACTTACCTGCTTCCAAATAAGATTCGTTCTTTTCAAAATACTCTGGTGCTATCTGTTTTAGCACAGTGTGAAAAAAATGGGTATAAGGTAGCTTGCTGATCAAAACCAAGGACTGGAGGGGAAAAAGAAACAATGTTTTTAATTGTCTAATGGTCATGATTTCAAGTCTACCATTCATTTCTTGCGTGAACAATCACTAACAAGCCACATTCACCAGTACCTAAGTGTGGATTTTGAAATAAAAAGCATTTTACAGTGGATGGTTAAAAGGAAACATAAAATTGCAACTGCAGAATGCAAAAAGTTTAACCTAACTTATCACTACACTTTTATAGCACAAAGACAGATTTTCCTGCTCTCTAGGAAAAAGAATTTCCTTTAAACAGACTAATGTCATGAATAATTTCCAAAGCCTAGCTACTGTTGTCATTTGCAAAGCAATATCAGAAATTAATCAGACAAGCTCTTCCTAACGACAAAAGAGCAGATTGTGATGCTTTTGCAAGATGAGACCTATAACTTATATTTTAGAGATCGACTGTTAAATACAAATTGTGATGTTACAGTTTGATCACTTCAGATACAGATTACGTAGCATTAATTAGTGGTCGAGGCAAATTCTGGTTACAAAAGGCAAAGACTGTGTTCCTTCTAGCTGAGATTAAATTGGAACTAATTTATTTATTTATTTTTAAGGGGAAAAAAAAAAAAGACTATACCTTTATAGTGAAAACAAAAACGGCTAAGAATCTTGCTAAAGCTTATTTACTGGCTCTTTAAAAAAGGAATACTGCAGGCTTTCACTAGTGGTAATAATATTATAATCTTTTTAGTCTTTCCCTTATTCTAAAACATCAAAATTAGGCATATCTTTCTGATTTTTTGACAGAGTTCCTATAATAACTTTAACTTATTATCAGGATTCTAGCACAGAGATACCAGAAAGGCAAAATTCAATAGGAGTTTAAACTCTAGGGACAGATGTCTATACTGTAAAAAACAAAGATACAAACTCTAGGATGTTTAAACATAAAATATCAAAGACTTTAGAATTACCAGTTTCTGCTTTTCTAATCACAATATAAAAAATACTTTTTCAATTAGTATATCTTAAAGTTACCTTCTGAAAGTAGCCTCTTTTTAGAGTTTTATCTCGAACTTGTCGGAAATACACATATCCATAAAAATAAGCAGGATCCTTCTATGAAAGAAGTGACAGATAATTAAAAAATACATATAAATATTGCTATCCTTTAGCATTTAACATAAAGTTCCTTTATAAACCCAACTGTGATATGGGGAATACACAAAAAAGTAGTTGTGCTTCTCTACCAGCAAACTAATCATGACTGTAAATGCCAGCTAAAAACCTGCTAACTTGTCCAAAGGTGAAATCATCATAACTAAAGTACAAAAGTCAGATTGTTCCCCCAAAACTGACTCAGCTTATGTTCTTTATTCGTATCTGTAGTAATTAACAGAATCTACAAACAATCAAATTCTATATTTTCCCCAAAGCTATGTTAAGTTAAAAAAAAAAAAAAAAAAAATCTGCCTACAATTTTGAGTTTGTAAAGGCTAAGGGGTTAGTCTTTTCAAAAAACGAGGTGTCCTAATATAAAATTTCAAGACAGAAAATAAAAGGCATTAAATGCCCATCTATATCTTATACAAGCGACTGTATTTTATCCCAATAATAATGAAATACAGTGTTTTAGAGGTAATTGCATTCCAAAAACCTTAAGAAAAGCTTCTACATTCTAAGGGGATAAACTTTGGCTAAGTTACTTATATCTGACTGTTATTCTTTAAACAAATATTTATTGACCATCTACTTTGAACAAGGCATTGAGATAGAAGAAAAAAAGATGCATAAGACACAGTTCCTTAAGGAGGTCACGATCTAGGAGGGATAAGAAAAGCACAAAAAGGACTAGTACATAATAGGAGGGCAGGTACCATGAAGAAAGCACAAAGTGCTACATGGAGACCAAGAAGGAAGAGACTACCTCTGTCTAAAGGGATCGGTAAAGGTTTCACGGAGGCAGCCGTTTTTGAGTTGGACGTGAAAGGATGGATATGATTTAAGCAAAGACAAAGATGGAGCCATTCCAGGTTTAGAGGGCCAAGAGTCTGGGCAAAAACACTCAGAGACAGAAAAGTACGAGCTATTTTAGGAAAAAGCACATAGTTCCGTCTGGTTAAAATAGCACATGTATAGAAGGGAGATGAGGCTGGAAACTGGAAAGGTAAAGGGTCTTATACTGGAAGGCCTAAAAAGTGAGGAAAGGAAGTAATAATATCATTAGCTCTTTATTAATTAAATAATAGGTGGTCATTGTAGATTTTATATATATATAATATGTATGTACACTTTGGGCAACAACACTTTGGTGTAAGATATATTGCATTGGAAAACACAAGAAGTTGGATGTCTTTGGCAAATTTCTTATCCTTGGTAAACCTGAATTTCCTCAACTGCAAAAGGAACTCTCTAAGAACAATGTAGGGAAGATTAATAAGATGATATATGTGGAGTCCTGGTGGCACAGTGGTTAAGAGCTTGGCTGCTAACCAAAGGTCAGTGGTTTGAATCCACCAGCTGCCCCTCCTTGGAAACCCTATGGGGCAAAACTGACTCGACTGCAACTGGTTTGGTTTTTTATATATACTATGTGCTTGTTAACGCAGCGCCTGCAATTCAGTAACCTCTAATAAATAATAGCTATTGTTATCTTTGATTGAAAGAATATGGATGGCTGTATTTCATGAGTTGGAATTGACAACAACGAGATATTTCACAGATAGCATCACTGCAAAGAAGAGCCCTGGTGGTGCAGTGGTTAACTGCTTGGCTGCTAACCAAAAGGTAGGCAGCTGGAATCCACCAACAGGTCCGCTGGAGACAGATGTGGCAATCTGCTTCCATAAACATTTACAGCCCTGGAAACCCTATGGGGCAGTTCTACTCTGTCCTAGACGGTTGCCACATGTCAGAATCCACCTGGTGGCAACCTAGGAGAGGGTTCCTGCCATTAGTGGAGACAGGGAGCTAAACTGTCAAAGGTGATTTCAGACAAATGGTGTCAAGTTTATACTGGATCTCTGATAGAACATCCAGATGGAAATGTTCCTTGTGCAATTAGAGATGAAAATATAGAATTTCACAGAGAAAAACAAAGACTCTGGAATCATCTAATTATTAAAACTGTCTTAATAAACAATAACTGTAAAACAAAGTTTGTTTTAAAAAAATCAAAGAGACAATTGCAATGCTATAATAAAGTTTGTAGAGATCCCACAGGTGGTAACTACTTCAATTCTGGGTGATATTTACTGGTATAGCACCATCCCATGCCCACATCTAAATAGTTATTAACAAACGAAATTACCTCAATATTCTAATCCATTTCTATAATTCTCAATGGGATTATAATATGTTTCATAATATTTATTCATTAACTTTGTAAAGTCTCTTTCGTTCACATGTTGAATCTTTATGAATTAGACTTACTTATGAAATCCAGCCGCATACTACAGTAACAAAACAAAAGCAAGTATTTCTGAATGCTACTGGAGGTAACTGAATAACTGAGTTCTAAAGTTTCCTCGCACATGGACATTTTTCTATTACTACTTTCCAACCTTTAAGTAAACCGGTAAATCTCTGTCAAACTGATCCAGGAGACAATGCAGTGACATCCTCCGCCCAGAAGACTGTCGAAATCTAAAACAAAACTGGGTATCTCCAAGACAACCTAATGAAAACAAAAATGAAAGAAATTAAGGATAGTTTAGTTTAACATTTTTTATCCACATTCAGCAAATTTTAGAGCTGAAAGGGATCCTAGTGATGATTTAAACCCATTCTGTCATGTTTTAGAGAAGAAAAAGGAAATCCTGAGAGTTCAAGTATCTTGCTCAAAATCATCTTGGCCAGTTAGAGACAAAGCCAGAAGTAAAACATGCATCTTAATTCCTAAGTCCTTTTACTCTTTTTTCTATTCCATTTTGCTCGTGTAATTTTTTTTTGCAAACTGTTCTCACGAAAGTTGACTGAAACATGATAATGAGCAAAAGATGTCAAACACAAAAGAACAAATATTATTAGACTCTATTTATATAAAGTTTTTTTTAAAAAAAAAAAAGCAGGCAAAACTGAACTATAGTGTTTAAGGATTCATGGTTGAGTGATAAAACTATGAAGAAAAGCAAGACACTTATTACCGTAAGAATCAGGATCATGGTAACCTTTGGAGGATGGGAACAGTGGTTGTGAGGGGGCTTGAGAAAGCATGTGAGGTGCTGGCAAAGTTCTATTTCTTGACCTTGTGTGTATTTTATATATGTATTTTTAATTTCTATTGAATTTTGAATTTAAAATAAAGAGACATAAAATAGAAGACTCAGAAAAAGCCTAAGTGATGGTTACAAGAGAGAGGAGGAGTGAGGAGAGAAAAACACTAATGAAATAGTAGACAGGTGTTAACTTGGGTGAAAGGTAAGACAGTATACAATACTGGGGAAGTCAGCACAACTTGACCAGGGCAAAGTCACAGAAGTTTTACTGTTTAATGAGAAACTAATTTGCTCATTAAACTTTCACCAAATCACAATTAAAAAAAATAAAGAAAAAGCCTAAGTAACAGACTTCTACTTTAATCATTTTAATTAAAGAAAAAAAATTGTTTGACTTTAATCATTTTAAGCAAACCTCTTAAAACATGTAAACTTTACCTAGAGTAAATGTCAGGTAATAATTATACAAAACCATACATACTCTAAAAAGTAGCCTATTAAAAAATACATGGAGTAGCTTGTTACTCCAGTTGTTCTTGGTTACTATATTTAGAACTAATAACGGAGAAAAGATTGAAATTATCAAGGATTTCACTTTACTTGGATCCGCAATCAACGCTCATGGAAGCAGCAGTCAAGAAATCAAATGACATATTGCACTGGGCAAACTTGCTGCAAAAGACCTCTTTAAAGTGTTACAAAGCAAAGATGACACTCTGAGGACTAAGGTCTGCCAGACTGAAGCCATGGTACTTTCATCCACCTCACATGCATGTGAAAGCTGGACAATGAATAAAGAAGACCGAAGCAGAATTGGTGCCTTTGAATTACAGTGTTGGCAAAGAATACTGAATATATCATGGACTGCCAGAAGAATGCATAAATCTGTCTTGGAAGAAGTACAGCCAGAATGCTCCTCAGAAATGAGGATGGCGAGACTTCGTCTTACATACTTTGGACATCAGAAGGGACCAGTCACTGGAGAAGGACATCATGCCTGGGTAAGTAGAGCGTCAGCAAAAAAGAGGAAGACCGTCAAGGAGATAGACTGACACAGTGGCTGCAACAACTGGTTCAAACATAGCGACGATTTTGAGATGGCACAGGACCAGGCAGTGTTTCGTTCTGTTGTACAAAGGGTCACTGTGAGTCAGAACCAAGTTGATGGCACCTAACAACAAGGTTATATTAAATATGAAACGAGCTCAAGCCTTTTATTATTACTTATTATGACATTCGGAAGTACTTCTATTTCTTTAGCATAAGAAGTTCTCAAGAAAAAAAACAGAAACCCAACAATATGTTTAAATTTTTAAAAAAGCAACTCAGTATGAACCAGGGATCCTCCAGTATGCATAACCAGATGCAGTTATAAAACTGATATTTCTTTGGTGGTGGAGGGGAGGGATGAACAAAGGGAACTGGAGGGTGGGACAACCCAGTTTTCTTACTTGTTAGAGCAGATAGTTTAAAAATAACAAGGCAAACAAATGAAACCTGAAATAATGGGAAATATTCTGTGATATAGGTATACCATTATTTTAACTCAATGAATATATATACTGATGATTTGATTTTTCTCTTCAGAAGACATTTAAATCTGAAAGAGAGAGAAAAAGAGAAAGGAAGGAAGGAAGAAGTCCACAGAGAAGCAGACCCTAGAGCAGGAAATGTGTACTAGAACGCAATGCATTTTAAGAAAAGGATAGGGCATCTAGAAAATGCAAGGAATACTGAGCTTTGTGGAAGGGAGGTGATGAAAATCCCAAAGCCTCAAACCTCTACCTACTTGGCTCCATACCCAAATCATGGGCATGATGTGAGAACTTCCAGTGACCTGCTGCACCCCTCAAACTGTAAAGAGCTGATCAGGAAGCTAGCTCACTTGGTCAAAAAGGCTTCAGGCACAGTGTCTTTGTGAACCACAAGATTTAAGTGGTTCCCATTTTATGTCTCAGAGTTCTGTCCCACAGAGTTCAGTTACCCTAAAAGTCAACCCTTATTTGGCTAGTCCTTCGTTCTCCGTCTTGACCTCACCATTGATGAGAAAGGAGTAAACCCCAAGAGACAAAAAGTAGATTGGTGGCTGCCTCGGGCTGGGAGAGTAGGAGGAAACAGGGTACAGGGTACCTTTTTGGTGACTGTGGTGATGTTTGCACAACTTTGCGAATATACTAAAACTCATTAAACTGCACATTTTATATGGGTGAATTGTACAGTATGTGAATTATATCTCTATAAAACTTCATTACCTCAATAAAAAATCAAACATCTTTAAAAAAAAAAAAATTCTGTCTGAAAAATGTCCCTCAGATCACAGGGTTCTTAACTCATTGGCCTTTGTGCCAACAGCTCATTCAAGTAAGGTGCCCATCCTTTCAGCCATGGCTCCTCCTATATGAATATCATGTAGTACACCAGGAAACAATCTCCTCCCATTTTAAAACTATCAAGGGCAACAGAGTACTTTGCAAGCTTGCTTTAACTCTGCAACTCAAACAGAGACTGCAAAGCTACAGGTAAACAGAGGGCTGCTTCCTGTACCAATAATATCACTCAAAGACTTAAGGAAAAACTTAAATTCTTTTTCTGAAGGTAACTCACTGAAAAAAACACTGCCGTCGAGTCGATTCGGACTTACAACGACCCTACATGACAGAGTAGAACTGTCCCATAGGGTATCCAAGGCTGTAAATCTTTACGGAAGCAGATTGCCACATCTTTCTCCCAAGGAGCAGCTGGTGGGTCTGAACCACCAACCTTCTGATTAGTAGCCAAGTGCTTTAACCACTCACCACCCAGGGCTCCTCTGAAGGTAACAGACAAACTTTAAAAGATGATTTCTACCTTAGCAAAAACACAGCTACAGAGTAGATGAGAATGCATAAGACTAAGATAAAATAGGCTAGCCTCATCTCTCGGCCCTCAAAAACAAACAAACAAAAAAAAACACCAAACCAGTTGCTGCTGAGTTGATTCCAACTCACAGCGACCCTACAGGACAGAGTAGAACTGCCCCATATGGTTTCCAAGGAATGCCTGGTGGATTTGAACTGTCAATCTTTTGGTTAGCAGCCATAGCTCTTAACTACTACTCCACTAGGGTTTCCCTCTTGGCCCTCAGCTCCATGTAATCACTCTCCCTGTGGTTAGGGCAGTTGGGTTGGAAGAACCAAGAACCAGTGCTTTAGACCAGAGCTACTCAAAGTGTAGTCCATGGACTGATGCTGGTCTACAAACTCTTGTTACTGACCCTGACCAAGTAAACACACAAACTGAGAGTAAGCATTTAGAAACCATAATAGCAATCTGATGTTGCCATGACAAATCTGGACTTCTATTTGTTTTTTTCCTATTTCATTTTTCTGATAATTCATTCAAATTGCACTTTATCAGAGTATCGCTCCACAACATACTGAAAATTAAAAAAAAACTCAAACTGGCACTGTAACACAGATAGCGTGAGAAGTAATGCTTCAGCCCCTGAGAGGCATAAAGTATTCAATGATGCCCCTGCTGTTTACGGAGGAGAAGTATGTTGAGACCAATACTGTCTGTGCATTAAGTCCATTCAGAGCAAGGGTAATCCTTTCCTCAGATTTATTATTGCTTCAAACTCACTATTCATATTGAGTTTTCTCTTTAAACATGTTTAAACATCCTTGAGGGCCCACTACAGATAAGCCTCAAGAATACCACATCTAGATGATGCTAATGGTAAAAAAATAAGAAGAAAAAAATCTGACAAATACGTATCAGAAGAAAGGCACACTAGACTAAGATTCCTAACGATAAAAGCTATCATTCAAGAAGAAATTAAAACCTAAAACAAACTAAACAAAATTTTTTTCTAAAGTCACAAGAACCCTAAGGTGTACTGGTGTGGTGGAGGATAAGGGAAGAGACTGGCAAGCCACATCACTGGAAATCTCAAGAGCATTTTTCTTTATCTTTATAGCTAACCATACAGTCTAAAATGTTGCTTTACTTTTTTTAAGTGTGCACCATGGAAACGAAATCTTGTTTATGATTCTTTCCTAAAGACTGCTTTGCTGTGCCTACATTTCCTTCCATAGCAATAAAAGCTATTTTGGGAAAAATTAAATCCATTACAAAATTGGCACAATAATCCTAACTTTCATTTAATATATACGTAAGAAAAACAAACTGAATAATCACAACTGGGAACAGTGATCTCAAACACATACAAAACACAGTCTCTTGACTGTCTAGATTAGTGTTCATTTGTTAAAATGGCAAGGTGCCTGCTTTCAAGACGGTGTGTCAATTTTGCTTGTAAGAACCAGCCATACCTTAGATGAAATGAATCATATTTCATTTGATGTGCAGCTTATAAAAATGTATTACAAAACATCTGTGGTCATTCATATGTCTAAACTCCTCCTATACAAGTTCTGATTTACATAGATTTACAATTGCGTTTAACTTCCAACAAAAAAACAATGTACGGAAAGACTGACTATAAAATTAGAAATAAAAAACCCTATCCAAACACCATATAATTAACTTCTCAGCCTTGATGCCCAGGTGAAGAGGCAAAAAGAGAGGAAGTCATGATAATCAGCTATATTCATAAAGAGAAGAGTGTGCAGTATAATGCACTGGAACGCCAAATATACAAAGTCAGTTCATCCTGCAATCCATACAATTCAGCTTACCCTGAGTCCAAGAAACCCAATCCAACATTCACTACACTCAGAATTACATGTGTGGATTTTGTAAAGAAAATGTTAACTGAAACAAGGATAGATTCTACAAGACCTCCCTATCATTATTTTCATTTTAGGCAAAACATACTGGAAGAGTCTAATAATTCCAGGTCAGAACTAGAGCCCTACTGGAATCTCTCAAAGGCAATATCTGATATACCAAGACATTACTTTTCTTTTATATATTTCACAAAAGGTGAGCTTCAAATGTATGGGGAAAAAAAACCTGGAAGCATTTATAAGGAAAAGAGGAAATGATAAAAAAATAAATAAAATATCAAATTTCCCAAATCAGATGAAATGAACTAAATTAACAGGGTATCAGAAGTAACCACAAAAGAAAAGAGAACAGGGTGTCTCTGCTTCAAAGGATTCTAACTGAGTGTGGTCCAAGAAGTTGAATGTTCTGGTCACTGTATGCCTGCAAAGCTGTTTTGAAAGTGGAACACAAGAGGTGAGCTGAAAGATTTCAACAACTAGGACCACACAAATGGAGAGTTTGGAAGAGAACAGCAAAACTAAGCTTAATAATAACAGCAAACACTCACATGGTGTTTTCTATAGGTCAAGTAAAGCCAAGTGTAAGCTTTACATATATTAACTCACATAAACCACTGCAAGTAACTGATGGTCATGCTTCATAACCAGAATTACCCTACTTTTCTTAATCTGACTACTTTTACAGAGTTCTTGGCAAGCTCCTAAACCCTGAACTAAAAGTAAATGACTAACTATGAATCCCTCAAACATACAAATGTCATTGAGTTTCAATCTCTTCTCTATGTCAACAGCATATTGCATCTTGATGTTTTACCAGTTATTTTAAAAGCTGAATTAAATAATAGCAACAATGACACAACTAGGTATCATAAAACTAGCAGTCGAAATTGCTGACCCGTTGGGCTGAAATTTGAGTTTGCATGCTAATACGGTGTATTTCAATTAATTTTCACATATTAAGAGTATAATCAGTATTCTTAGTATAAAATTAAACAGAAACTCCACATGAAAAATAGTTACCTGAATTTGAATCTGGAAAAGACAAATAGCAAATATTGGTTTTCTGAAAAAGAAAACAAAAGCTATATATGCTGACACACACACACCAATAAAAACAAACAGAAATACAAGAGTAGACTATACAAAGCAATATTTTTTACTTACCTCTTTATCAGTAAGCTTGGAATGCTGAGGATAAATTACCTGAAAGAAAAGAGTTAAATTTTGTTAGACAAATATATTAGGTATATACTGTAAACACTAAGAGGTACTTCTAAAATACACTGGCTATGATCAAATAGGTTTAAGGAATAGTTCACAAACTTTAAGAACGATTAACAAGGCATAAATTGGGAGAATTGAGGACTTACATTAGGTAAAAAAAAAATGAATGAAGTTGGATCCCTACATCATACCATATATGAAAATTAACTTAAAATGGATCAATGACCTAAATGTAAAAACTAAAACCATAAACTCTAAGAACAAAATAGGGGTAAGGCTTCAAGACCTAATTTTCAACAACGGATTCTTAGATATGACATAAAAAGCACAAGGAACAAAAGGTAAAACTGATAAATTGGACTTCAACAAAATAATAAACTTGTGTATCACAGGACTTTATCAAGAAAGTGAACGGACAACCTAGAGAACAGGAGAAAATATTTGGGAACCATTTATCTGATAAGGGTTTAATATCCAGAATATAAAAAGAACTCCTGTAACTCAACAATAAAAAGACAAACAACTTAATCAAAAACTGAAAAAGGGCTTGCATAGCATTTCTCCAAAGAAGATATATAGTCAATAAGCAAAAAGATGCTCAAAAGTCCTTTGTCATTAAGAAAATACAAATCAAAACCACAATGAGATACCACTTCATATCTACCAGCATGGCTACTTATCAGAAAAACAGAAAATAACTGTCAACGAGGATGTGGAGAAACTGGAATCATCATCCACTGCTGGTGGGAATGTAAAATGGTGCAGCCACTGTGAAAAAGAGTTTGGCATTTCCTCAAAAAGTTAAACATAGAATTACCACATGACCTAGCAATTCCACTTCTAGGTATACACCCCAAAAGTCTAAGCAGGGAGACAAACAGATACTGGTGCACCAATCTTCACTGCAGCACAACAGCCGGAAGATGGCAACAACCCAAGTGTCCATCAACAGATGGAAGGATAAACACAATGGCATATTACTCAGCCATAAAGAGAAATGAAGTTCTGACATAGCTACAACACAGATGAACTTTGAAAGCATTATTCTGAGTGAAACTCAGACACAAAGGACAAATACTGTATGATCCCACTTATACAAAATATCTAGAATAGGCAAATGCACAGAAACCTAAGTTTATTAGTGGTATCAGAGGCAGGTGGGAGAAACAGTTGAAATGGGAAAAAAAAACAAAAAGGAAGTAATTATCTGCAGGCCATCTCCCACTATAAAGGCTATCCTAATTCTCTCCAATTCCTTTACATAATCATTACGCATTTTCCAAGACAAGCAGGTTTAGTGCCTGCAGTGATCACATCTACCTTCTGAGGCAAACTCCTGCCCTAAAGCTACAAAGTAAGCAGGACTAGGCCTGAGCAGCCTCTGCAGGGACAGGAGAACTGCCCCATAGAGTTTCCAAGGAGAGGCTGGTGGATTTGAACTGCCAACCTTTTGGTTAGCAGCTGAACTCAACCACTGTGCCACCAGGGCTCCCTCTGCAGGAATAAGCACTAGTAAATACCAGACCCAAGGGCATGTGCAGACCAACTAGCTGCCTAGAAGTGGCTGGGTGTGAAAATTCTGCCAGAAAGAATACTGGTGCTTAAGTGGACCAAGAGATTCTCTAGGGAATATGAAAAGGTGGTCCGATTAGGGGCAGCAAGTTAGCTACTGGCTGTAACAAAAGGGAGACAAACCAGCAACATACGGTAGTTAACTCCTGTTAATGGTAGAGTATTAATGTGGGGACCCATGACTTCCTACTTCTAGGAGGATACATGAGTTTTTCCATTCCCCAGAGCTGCCCAAAGAACCTGAAAATCTTCCATTTCCAGAAACAAAAAATAGTAACATCACATTATGAACAGTATTAGTTTCATAAATTTATCTTATTTAGTCAGTTCTCACAATTACACTGAGAGACACACAACCACCATCCATAGTAGCCATCATCAACATGCAACTGCAGCTCTCTTTGCCCCTAGCCAGATACAGCACATCTTTCTCAAGCCAGGGCCATGGGGAAGGGCTACAGAGCTGGTATGTTAATGAAAACCATCCACCATTCCCGGAGCTGAGAAGGGCACCAAAGCTAATACTCTCTACTTAAAAACCAAAAAACCAAACCCGCTGCCATCGAGTTGATTCCGACTCATAGTCACCCTACCGGACAGAGCAGAACTGCCCTTAGGGTTCCCGAGGCTGTAACCTTTAGGGAAGCAGGCTGCCACATCTTCCTCCCATAGAGGGGCTAGTGGGTTCAAACCGCCGACCTTTTGGTTAGCAGCTGACCGCTTTAGCCACTGTGCCACCAGGGTTCCTCTCTACTTACTCCACTTTATGTTCCATGTTAAGATCAATGTGACCATCTTAGCAGATAAACAATAAATTTATCGTAATGACAAAAAGTAGGTACTCAATACTTTTTGACTGACTGGCCCTATACACTGCTGATGTACAAGAGGCACCTTGTGGTTTTGGCAATTATGCTTCTCCCTTATGGTATCAATTACTTAGACCAGTGACTTTCAAACAGAACACCAGGTGCCTTAGAGGCCACGTGGTGGTGCCAAGAGGCCAACTGGAGCTAAAAGTCAGGACCCCAACATATACACACACAATTCAGTCTTCCCTACATACCCGGCACTATGACTCAGAATTCTGAAAACTGCACATTCGCAGTAGGCAGTCTGCAGGTTAGTTTTAATTTTTGATGAAAACAAACTCTACATTTGTATGCAGTCAGATCTATAGACTTTTCACTTGTGATTTCTCTTCCTGTTCTTACTCTTAGAAAGGCCTCCCCCAATCTCCTAACAGTTAAATGCTTGTTTCTATAGCAAAGCACACATATTATATGGTACGGAGACTTCTTAAAAATTTTAATAGTTTTACCCACTTATTTTAATGTATATTAGGAAAAAAACACCTAACACTCAAAACCAAGATATCACGGATACTATTGCTTAAGATATGGCTTAATACAAAATAACTCTGGACATGTTTTCAGGAGGAAGACATCATGCTTGGTAAAGCAGAGGGTCAGTGAAAAAGAGGAAGACCCTCAATGACATGGACTGACACAGTGGCTACACCAACAGGCTCACGCATAACAACAATTATGAGGATGGCGCAGGACCAGGCAGTGTTTTGTTCTGTTGTAGCTAGGGTCACTATGAGTCAGAACCGACTCAATGGTACCTAACAACAACAACATTAAATAATTGAATAAATAAAAATTAAATAAACAATAGTACAAATAAGACAGGTAATGACTGAAATTTGAGAAACAACAATGAATAAAATTTTTGCATGTTTTCTTCCAATATTTTGCGGGCCTTTTTTTCATTTAATTCTTAGCTAGAGCTCAAATTAGACTTTTTTCTTCCAGTTGCCAATTTTCCCAACAATATTCGTTCCAAACAAAAAGACTATTTCCCATTGATATGTGATAATCTACTATCATCTTTAATAAATCTTTCCACCTACTATTCACATTCTGATCATTTCATGCAATAATAATCACCATCCATGCAATTACTAATTCATGATTATTCCAATGTTCTCTATCTTTATGAATTTTGATGGTACATGAATGGTATTTTCTTACATTCAGATACACATATGACTTTAAATGATCCTTCAAGTTTCCTCCAAATGCCTTTTCCTTCTCCCCTTTGTATCTCAATTGCTTTCTTTCCACATCTCTCAGCTTAGATGCTACATCCTCCAATTCTATTTCTTTTGGAAACTGGATTTCATTCATAATGGTCCTACTGACTTTTTCTTTGCACTTACGGTTTGGTTTTGTTTTGGGGGGGGGGATTCTCTCCCTCCTATTTCTTTTCTATTAGGTAAGCTCCAAACAAGGCTACCTTTTGGTTGCCACCACCTCCTTGCCTCAACAAGAACTATCTCACTAGTGCTGTTTCAATCCCTCCTAATTTTAAAACTCAGCTTCGCCCAATTTCCAGCTGCCTACTGCATGTATATCTCTCCTCTTTCTACAGTTGGGCAGATCGTAAAGTTGTCAGATTAGCTACTTCCTTTCTACTTTCATTTCAGGACCCAGAATCTTGACCAGTTTTTGTTTTTACTTTTATTAGCTCCAATTCTTAAGTAAAAGCTCTTATACTCAACAGCATTACATACTACAGAAGACACTGTTTGCCTCACCAACAAAAAATGCTTCTTCCAGTATAATAGCATCCAATTTTCATTTGAAAATCTACCCCTCCTCCACTCTTAGCCCAAGTTATTCAGATAAGCCCCCAGACCCCGACACCTCAGACCCAGGTATGGACACATGACCTAGACATAAGTCAATTAGTCAGCATGATCCTATTTCCCTGGTTTCTGGGATAAGAAATATCCCTCTAAGAGGCAAAGCACTGCAGAGTTCCTTGTTAGGAATGCTGAAGTAGGGAGCCCCTCTATTCAGATGAGGGGACAAGAACCTCGAGCTGATGGAGTCTTCTGGCCACCAGAAGTGCTCAAATGAGCCAGGGGCTACCATATGAAACCTGAAAATCAATCCTACATAGTGGATGATGGAGCAGAAAGATGAACAGAAGCCAAGTATTTACAGCATTTTTTAAGCCATAAATTCAGCTATACCTGAGGTCAGGCCTACCTGTGGACTTCTCAATAACGTGAACCAATGAATTTTCTTTTTTCTTATGCCATTTTGGTCTAAGTTTCTGTCACTTTTAACAGAAAGAATCATGGTTGATTTTTTTCTCTTAGTGGCAGAAAGTACCGCTAGGTCTTTAATTCTCTAGACTTTGAATATTCTCCTGTCTTTGAACTGAGTTGCATTTACAGGAACTTGGACCCTTTCTCCTATGGTCCTTCCTTGTACCTAAACAGAGGCACTTAGCAGGGGTTAATGATATCCTACTCTCTGTAAACTGCTATGCCATATTCAACACCCAACCATCTAAATGCTGAACCCAGACATTTTTGTCAAAAGCAGTTACTC